GTTTAAAAATTACCCCCAGTTTTAAAGGGGCCTTAGGGGGTCTTTCCCCAAACCCCTTTTTGGTCTTGGGGGGCAACCCCCAGGGTTTTTTCCCCGGGGGGGGGGCCGTTTTCTTTTGTTTTTTTTTGGGGGTGGGGGGCAAAAAAATTTTTTGTGGTTTTTTTTTTTTCGGGGGTCCCGGGCGCGAGTTTGGGTCCCAAGGGGGGTTTTTGGGGGGTTTGGGAAGGAGAATGGGGGAACTTAAAAAGGGGGGAGGCCCGAATTTTTGGGGGGGTTGACAAAAAAGGGGGAAAAAAAAGGGGGGTCCCGGAGGACCAAATTTGGACTGAAATGGGGAAGGAGGGAAAGGGGGGGGGTCCCACCAATAGGTTAAAATGTGGGGGGGGGGGAAGGCATGCGGCCCCCCCCCTTTTTTGGGGGGGGGAGGGGAAAAACCCCCCCGGGGGGGGTGGTTTCCCCCCCCCCCCCCCCCCCCCCCTTTTCCCGGTTAAATTTTTGGGGGGAAACCCAGGTTTTTTTTTAAAACATGGGGAAAATTTTTCAAATGGTGTTTTCTAAACGGAAAAGGGGGGTAAAAAAGGGTCCCGGGATAATAAAAAAGCCCCCCCCCCCCCCCCCCACTCTTGTTTTTGCCTCCAAGGCCAGCAATTTTTTAGATATTTCGTAAGGACGCGTGGGGAATGGTTTAACAACCAAATCATGCGAAACATGAGTACCCCCCCCCCCCTATAGCCTGGTTTGGTGAAAACCCGGCATGCTCGATCCCGGCTCTTGTAGGGATGCGAGGTCCAAGGTCTAACGACTACTGCATGCACGGCGATGAGTACACCCCGCCACCATCCATGACCCATAGATCTACTAAGGAACAATATTTCGAGGCACCTTTGGCAAAGTAGGACGGAACGATTGGCCATCGGTGATGGGTCCTGTGGGAACAATGCGCCGTCCTCTCGAGGACGCGTGGTCAATGGTCTAACCGCCAAGGCATGCAAAACACAAAACGAGTACGCGGCCCCCCTCTGAACAATCGCTGGTTCTATGTTGTTGTTTTTTTTTGTTCGGCAGGTGGCGGAGGAGATCTGGGTTGTGGACGAGGGACGGGTGGCCCCATGGGGAGGAGACATCCTCACTTACAAGACCTCCCTCAAGAAAAAGAAGAAGACGTTGGCCTAGGCCGGCCGAGGAGGCGGCACAGACAGACACACGGACAGACTTGAAATGGCCGGGAGGGGTGTGCGTCGTCGGCCTACGGGCCGCTCGTCTCGAAGGCAGTCTGTGGTATGTGGTATGCCCTGTTCGGCTGTGAGAGGGGTGTACGTTCGTCGGCCTACGGGCTGCACATTTCGTAGGCAGGCGGTGTCATGCCTTTGTCGGCTGTGGTGGTGTCTTCAGACAGAACTCTTGTCGCACAACGGTGCTTGTGGTGCTGACGTAGATCTGGGTCTAGACCTAAGTGCTTCCAGTGTAGGTTGTCTTTTCCATGACGAAGTACGAGGGAACTGCTGTGTGTGGTGACTTTCTGTCGTGGTGCAGCTGTACAAATGTGCTGGGTTCGAGTTACTCCATACGCCAACGTTATGCTCTGTCGTGTTGCTGCTTCTGCTGCTGCAGCCGCTGCAGGCCAGGTAGGCAAAAAAAAAAGGGGCAGAAAAAGCGAGCCGACGTACCGGTTCATGGTTGTGTTGCCGGTCGGATTTCCTTTTTGGCGGTTTCGTGGGGGGAGAACGCCTCCCTCCCACGTCTTCTTTCGCGGTCAGTTTTGTAGGGTCCTTCCGTCCGGAATCGCCGAGAAATTGACGCGATCTAGAGCTACCTCTCTTGATGTACCGTTTTGCAGTGACATGCGATCTATCTGTGCGTGCTGTCTGCGCGAGCTTTAGTTGCCGCCGCCGTCATCGTAATTTTGCATGTTTTCTCGTGCTGCACGGTACACAGTTCATTGTGTCACTTTTCAATTTTTGTTTTTTTTCTTTGTGCCAGTCGTGTCTTCCTAGTGCGCACTGCGGTTTGAGGTTGGCCCTCTTCCTTGCGGTTGATTAGCGTCAATCAATCTGGAAACAAACGTGCTTCATTTTGGCCCAGTCGTGCGAAAGTAATGGATCTGACGTGCTTGGTATTCCCCCCCGTTGTCTCCTAGAAGGAAAACACCGCCGGGTGTTGGCAGGTGGAACAGAATGGGTCGTGTTGAAGCAGGCGTGTTCGACACAGCAGGCGGTCTCTCGTGGAGATCAGCCGGCCGTTTGCACGGTGTAGCACACATGCATGCTGCTGTCAGTTGCTGCTGTGGCCTACAAGCGCCACCTTTCGTTTGTGTGGTCGGTTGCCTCTCGTGTGCATGGTCCCTTGCGCGCTTGCTAACAGCAGCAGCAGCAGACATTGTCGCAGCATGGTGCACCTATGTATCTGTCCTTTGTTTTGTTGACTTAATCGTGTGGTGGTGCATGCAAGTCATGACAAGAGGCTACAACAAGTCGATGCTCTGTTTTTTGTGGGGGAACACTTTGGTGTTTTCCACTTGCTACATTCATCCATATGGTCGTCGTCGTCGACATGTGTTTTGTGTCTTCTTGCGTTTTGTTTGGAGAGATTGGGATGGGGTCAGGGTGGGAATAGTGTCCACGTTTTTGGCTGACATGAAGGTCAAGAGGGGATGGGGTGATAATATACAACACATGACGTGAGAAAAAAAAAACTATCGGCCGCCGGCTGAACGGCGACAGCGTTTGTCTCTCCCGCCGCCGCCGCCGCCGCTGCTGATGCGGGCGACCCAGCCGAAACAGCAGCAGCCACATGACATGTTCATGAACCCGGCTGGGTCCTCGTGGATGGACCTTCGCCACTCACTGAAGGACTGCTGTTACGGGCTTGTGGACGGACCTGCGAGAGCCTGGTCTCGTTAGACTATCCTTCTTCTCCCTTCTTCATATGTATTGGCCACAACCAGCTCAAGTTGGTTGCTTAAGATCTTAGAGTAATAAAAACAAATAAATGTGTCCTCCCCTTTTGTTATTGCGCATCACCCCTCCCTGTGATTGCGTTCGTAAACCGTACACCTAACGTCACCAAGAATATTACCTTGTTTTATATAGGCTAGACACAGGTCATCGATTTGCTTTGTATTCCCGCGCCAGCCAGGGCCTTCCCCCGCCCGGCAACACACAATTGTAAAGTTTTGTGAACAAAAAAAAAAGTGTTTGTGTTCGAATCAAAAGCATGCATGTCGAACTGTAAAATCGCGTAATTCAACAGCATGTTTCCTGTTGCTGTTGTTGTTTTAACATTTACCGTTCGGTTTCTGCTCAGTCCCTTCCCTGCGACCTGCGGTAATATGTAGACTAGACTAACTATGCTATGCATACGAATCTATGTACGTACACATACCGTATATGACATAAGATAACACACCCCCTTGGCCGATTTTCAAAGCTCGATTTCTCAACAGCAGGAAGAGTCACAGCGCCGAAAACGGCGGCGTTGGAACCGTCTCGTCGAGAGCTGTTCGAAAACGTATTGTTTCATTTATGCATCCTCTTCGTCGTGGAGTAATCGAGCTTTGAAAATCGGTCCAGGGGGTGTGTTATCTTGTGTCATATACGGTAGTCTACACCTTTCCCCCGCCATCGTGTTGACTTGTCCGCTCGAAGACAAAACAGGAAAGCAAACAAAGCGCATGAATGTGAAGCCCCGGTCCGGCGCGGCGGCCATGACGGCACGATCCGATCGAAGCCAATATGTCGAAGCTTGTCGAAGCAGCCTCCCCGAAAATACTCGCTCCCCATCCCCGTCAAAGGAGATCCTTTCAAAACCTTTTTGCGAACTCCCTTTTGTACCCCTTCGGGGAAGTGAACCACCTTTTCACCGCATGTAAACGCAAAACACTCTTGCAGCAGAGCACCCAGCTGCAGCTAACAGAGACCAGTCTAGAGCATCAAACGGCCAGGAAACCCGTGACTTGTTCATCATGGCCGGTGATCGGGCCCAGGCTATGACGGCCAGAGCTCTGGAAAACCTCTCCAACGACCCGGATTTAGATGAATCGTTGGCCAGCGGTGCTGCTCTTGCGTATGGTGGCCCCGTCCCGCGAGTGCCCAGCCGCGCTAAGAGAGCCGCTGTTGCAGGAGGAGGAGCAGGGTCCTTGCCAGGAACATCAACAGCGGGTGCCCCGAGATCATCGCCAAGGCCGGGAAGAGACCGCGCTGTTCCTGCCCCCGCCCGGCCGCGACCGCCTCCGAAACGCGGGCCCGTCGTGCTGCTACGGGGAGCCCGGGCGGAGGCAGCGAAGAAGGCCCTCGCGCTAAATCTCAAGCTCCAGACGGCTCTGCGGAAGGAGCTCAGCGTCGTGGACGAGTCCTTGCAAAGAAACAAAGAGGTTTGTTTTTGTCTTGGCAGGGAGAGACCACTGGCCTAAACGCCCGCAGTGGGGTGTGCCAAAGAAGAGGCTGAGATTGATTGTGTCTCGACAAAAGCTTGAAAATCAGCAAAATACCGTTCAAGAGCGGTATTTTGAAGCGATACACCTGTGTGGGGGGGGCGAGAGCGGGTAAGTACAAAGTGACACTCCCATTCAGCCTGCTGCTGGGGATGACCAGAAGTATCGCGTATGCACGTCACCATCCTCGGCTCTGGGTTATTTTTCGTGCCCTTGTTATTGTCCTGTACTTTGGCTGTCGCTTTGTTTCGCTCCATCCCCACGCACAAAGGGCCCACAGATGAATTGCGATTTAGATCCACAGTTTTTGTGGTAAATTTATGACCTACCAGGTATGGTACAGCTGTGCTGCTACCATACTGATGATGATCCTCTAGCAACTCCAAACAAATGCAGTCTGCTGTTTGTTCGTTCCTTGTCCCCCTCACATTTGTTTTCCTTTTCTCCTACGTCAGATTCTGAAGACCGCCGAGGAACGGCTGTCCTCCCGGAGGTGCATGGGCATCACCACCAGCACTGAGAAGTTCAGGTGGTCCAAGGCCGTCAGCAAGTTCCTCTCGGTCAACGGACACCCGGGGAAGCTTGGGCTCCACAAGGAACAGGAGGCCATGCTCCGCAGCGATCCCATCCCATGGCAGAGCCGGGATGTCAAGGTGTGAGCGACAACGACAGAACATGGATATATGTACCATGCCGTAAGGATGCAAAGGTTCGCGCAGCAGGGGGTTCAACCGGTTTCTAAAGGCTTGAGTGCGCCATGACCAGGAGGGCACCAAACGGACGAACGACGGGCGGTTGTTTCGGAAAGGTCTGGTCGAGAGCTCGATGGTGTGCGACAGAACGCAACACTCGGGGAGTATGTTGCGACGTGGTAGTGTTGGAGTCTTGTCCTCTTTCGAATACTACGGTTAAATAGTCCGGACCCTTTCGTGCACGTTCCCCCCACAGTGGGAGCTCGATGACTCGAAAGCGTGTTTGCTTTCGTTGCCTCGCAACGGACTGACGTATTTTCATACGTCAGCCGGTTAGCGTGGTTGATGCTAAGTTCCAGAACACCTCACTCACATGGAAATCAACTTGAAAAACAAGCCGGCTTTGAGTTGTAGGGGATTATTCCCGCGGACTCCCCCAAAGCCCCCGACGGTGTGGAACGAGTCCCATTTCCGTGTCCATGCCCGTCAAAACGCTCGTCACACACGACACGAAGCTGCCCACCCCCACCCGATTGTCCACACGTGATCGGTCCTGTGGGAACAATGCTCCGTCCTCTCGAGGGCGCGTGGTCATTGGTCTAATCGGTAAGGCACGCAAAACACAAAAAAGAGTACACCCCGCCCCCACCCGTTCATCAACACCAACCTTTCATGGTACGCACACGAAAAAAACAGGCCCTGCTGAACCACATTTCCGCGGAGTATCCCGATGCGGTTAGCCCCGTCACCGCCGAAGAGACCCTCCGCAAGATCGACTGGGAGAAGGCGGCCCTCTCGGTCGACCAGACCACACATCGAGGCATCAAGCGGCAGCGGTTGCGCCGCGTCCGCACGGCCGAGGAGTGCCGCTTGAGGTGAAGGAGGGGGGGGGGGGCGCACAAGTGCGAGCGCGAGAAATTCCATATGTTCTTTGTGTTAATTGATATTTCTGATGCGTGTAATTATGTTTTGGTTATTTGCAAGATCATGAAGAACGTGGTGAGAACTGTGTAGCCATTTTTTTTTTGTTTGTTCGCTCGTGTTTATCTTGTCTCATCCGATATCTGTTTTGCGATCTTTTGGGATCGTTTGCGCTTTCCCGTGTGTTTGTGTCGTGCGTGATCATGAACAAGAACGCTCTTTTTCTCGTGTGACGCTGCTCTGTTCCCTCGGCAAGCGTTCTGTCAGCCACGGACACGTACAAGAATATACTTCTATGCTCACAACAAGAAGAGACTTAACAGGATCGAGTGTTGACAAACATGTCAGGTGGACTCACGTCGACATGCCCGGAGCCACAACCGGTACCACGTGGTCCAAGGAAGAGGACTTAGCCATCATGGTGCAGGCCGATGAACGGGGCGCCAGAGAGTGGGTCAAGGTGCGTTCATGGTTACTTGTTGACCTGTTGTCGTTGTTGTTGTTGTTGTTGTTGTTGTTGTTGTTGTTGTTGTTGTTGTCGGTGCTGACAGACGCAGAACCAGAACTCAAGAACGCCGCTTGAATTAGAAGAACGCCTCTGGCGGTTGCTGTCCAGTCGGGCCAAAGCCAACATCAACAGCGCGCACGAAAGCACGCACGCTTCAAGACCAGCCATCAACGACAACTCCAAACCAAACGTCGAATGTACGTAGTGGTAAAATAGGGGGACGCTGGGACGCTGCCCTTCGGGTGGATGGGTGGAATGAGAAAAAATCGCTGTCATCACCACGACGTTTTGCACCACAGATTGGAGGAGGTATATCTACTACCGTGCAAATCAATACCACTGGTGGGCCCTTAATCCCCTAGCCAAGAAAGTATTTCGTGCCTAAATTACTCTCTAAGTGCGCCAAAACTCTTGGTTGCAAGGAGATAGGAACACCCCTTGAGGAAATTTTTTTTTTTTCCATTCATGGCACAACTGTTTTTTGTGAACAGATGATGTGACAATAATACCGCCGTGTTTGTTGGCAAGGGTTATCGATGAAGCCCATGCTACAATAGGAGCGCCATCACCACCACCACCGCCACCACACAAGTCCATCCATCGTATTGCGGCTGGTGGACAACCTCGCGTCGCATCTCCTCAACCCACGTGGAAGATATGGTTTTACGAGTCACAGGATATCGGATACCGAGTAAGCACTACGGCGGTTTTTTTTTTTTAAGCATTACTGCATGGTACACTGGGAATTCCCCTGTTTGCCTTAGACCCTTTGACAGAAAACGCCTTATTTTAGGGGACGTCTATTATAGTGAAGTTTTCTACCAAAGCCCTAATTTTCGCTTGCGAGTGTAGTACTTCTGCACAGCTGCGTCGACAATATTCACTCATGGACACGTTTTCACGAAAAAACTCCGTGTAATTCCACAACGCTTTTGGAACGCAGATCGCAGAGGAGGTGCGCAAGGTCAACGGGGGCCTGAAGCAGCGGTCGGCCATCGACTGTCTCAGGAGATACCAGGCCACCCTCAACACCAAGCTCGTGAGTTGGAACAGGTGGAGCCCACAAGAGGACGAACTGCTGCACGATGCCATCAAGGTAAATGGGGGTTCGGGTGTGGGATTGAGGCGGGAGGTGTACTGATAGCCGTGATCGTGCATGCCGTAGTATTTAGACCATTGATCTTGCATCCCTAGAATGCCGGGACGGAGAGGGGGGGGGGGGTATAGGTGTAACCCCAAAGAGGACAGAATGCTGCACGACTCCCTCAAAGTAAAGGGGGTTCGGGGGTGGGGTTGAGGGGGGGGTGGGGGTGGGTGGTACTCATTTTATTCTTGCCTTTGTTGTTTGACCATTGGTGGTCGGGTGTGCACACTATTAGCCTTTGCATACTGCGGTAGTGTTCTTTGTGCGAGAGCGTTTTTCTTTCTCTGCGGCTAATCTTGGTCACGTGTTTCGTTAACGTTTGGCGTCCTTCGTATTATTTGGTGTTTTTCTTGAGGCTAGACTTGGGGAGTTCGGCTATTGTCGGGCATTCTTCTCTCTCTCTCTCTCTCTCTCTCTCTCTCTCTCTCTCTCTCTCTCTCCGCCCCCCCGCTCGCCGTGCTCAACGGCTTAACGGTGGCGGCACACGCTCTACTGCAATATCACTGCTGTCAAGGCGTTCTGAGTCCAACACGAAGAAAAAAAAACTCTGTACCGCGTCCCTTAACGCCTGCCAACCTCGCTCGACCTTGTACCCCCGCAACAACGAAACCACAACGACGGCGACCACAACAACAACACACAGCGTCACGGCTGCAAGGCGTGGCTTAGTGTGGCGCGAGACGTGCCGGGGAGGAGTACGCTCCAGTGCTACAACCGTTTCCTCAAGAGCGGTCTCCAGTGGCTCGCCGCGTCGGCGGCCCCCCGGCCACCACCGCCTCATCACGACCACCACCACCACCACCTCCAGCCGAAGCCTGAACCTACCACCGGCCACGCCGACACCGCAGGCGGGGACGGCGAAACGCCTCCCCAAGGCGGCTTCGCCAAAGAGGAGGGAGAGGAGGAGGAGGAGGAGGAGAGCAACGAAGAAGAGGGAGAGGAAGACGATGACGACGACAACGACGAAGATTTTGTGCCGCCGGGCGGAGGCGGGGGCGGCGGCGGAGTCCGCTCGCGAGGGCACCACCCTAACGCCTCCCCGGCGGCCAGGCACCGCGACCACCACCACCACCGGCCCCCCGACCACCCCAACCCACGAACGAACCGGAGCTGGGGCACCTGGACGCTGGACGAGGAGCGCCACCTCTGCCTCGCGGTGCGCGCGCTCATGCCGAGGGAGAGGCGGATGGGGGGCCCGCCGTTCGGGGGGGGCGACGGAGGGGGAGGGTCTGCTGCTGCTGCTGCTGCTGCTGCTGCGGGGAAGAGCGGCGAAGGGAGGAAGAGGCGGCGAGATTCTGACGGTGGCGAGCCTAGGCCGTCAGGGGGCGGGGGGAGGGCACCGGAGACGGGCACGCGAGGGGGACACCCTCGAAAGAACGGCCGCAGCAGTAGCAGCAGTAACAGCAACACGAACATGCTGGATTGCTTCGAGGGGGTGAACTGGCAGGAGGTGGCGAGGCTCATGTCGAACGGAAGGAGCGACAAGCAGTGCCGGCTCAAGTGGTTCGAGGCGATCGACCCTTCCGTGAACCGCCAGAGGGAGTGGGACGCGGAAGAGGACGCGCGGCTGCGCAAGGGTGAGAGGTGGTGGTTGTGGTTGTGTTGTTGTTGGTGGTTGTGTGTCACGGAGTGTAGCGCCCCCGATTAAGAAAACAAAAATAAGAAACGAAGGCTCAATTTTTTGGTGATGAATAAGGAAACTCGACCTAGAAAAACAGCTCAGCCGTTGATCCTACGCAATAAACTCTATATAGTAGTATATAATGAAATACCTATGCTCGACGGTGCTGACGGAATAAGAAAAATTGAGCCTCGAACCCCAAATTGACGTTTCTTAAGAAAGCGGGCGCTGACTGCTGTACTACAACTGTTGTGGTGTTTGCAGTATATGCCTTGCGAAAATACTGCTTGTTTTTGTACAACGAACCCTGTAGCTAAGACTTGCGGGGGCAGATCGAGTCTATGAAATGTGCCATTACTTGCCACGCTATACCACGGCCGACCGGTGTTTGTGGCGAATGAGTACTCCTCCCGGAAGACCGCCAGTTCGAACCCCAAGGTTCTATTCCGTGCCATCTCTAGCTCTCGAAATTTTGGGGCCAAAGACGCCGCTCAAAACGCTATCCTTAACGGATCCGCTATATAAGACAACCTCGTGTCCGCCGTCCGTCCGGCAGCGGTGGAGGCTAGGGGGATGGGGGAGTGGAGGGCCGTAGAGATGGACATGGCGAGCTGGGCGCAGAAGCGGGGCGTGCTCAGGCGCACCGACCACTCGTGCCGGAGGCGGTACATCGCCATCGAGCCGGAGAAGCACGAGAAACACTTAAGGGTAAGTTTTTTTTTTTCCCTCTCGAGCGGAGTGGACAACAAACAAACACACTCACGGGGTCCCAGATCATACTTGAGAATCATTTCTCTGTTTCGATCGCGCTGAGACTCAAGTCCTTTCATTGGTCAGCCGGTTGATGCTACAAAATATATGACACACACAGTTGATAGGGTGACAGCTTGTGCTTTAGGGTTTATGTGTAGGTCGTGTCGATTCTGGCTTGGATTGCGGTTTGAGGATCGTCGTATGGTGTAATAGTCGTGTCAGCAGCGTAAGGATGTTTTTGTTGTTTTTGTTACGCAATGAGAGCTCACTTCTCCTTGCAAACGCTGTGTACTTTTTTCGTCTAGATGGCCGATTCCTCTCCGGATGCTCACGCGATAGTTTGACGCCCCGTAGACCACGATTACACTACAGAACGTCCGGGACTTGCTGGCGCAAAAAGCAAGACCCACCCTCTGGATCCCTTTGTTTCAATATGCCCGCGTGTGCTCTCGCTTTACTTTTGGATACCGACCGAAGCTGCTTCTTTTCCAGTACATGCAAGAAGCCCACCCCACCGCCCTGGCTCCCTTTGTTTGCACATGCGCGCGTGTGCTTTCGCCTTGTTCTTCGATGCCACCCGAACCTGCTTCTTTTCCGGTACACATGCAAGAAGCCCACCACCGCTCCCTTGGCACCCTTCTTCCCAACCTTCGCGCACGCGTGTGCCATCGCCTTTCCTTTTAATTTCGATCGTTGTTTTTTTTTTTCGGTGCCGACGGAAACTGCTTCTTTTTCCAGTACGTGCAAGACCGGCGGGAGGTAGAGCCGAGGCTAAACGCCCCCTGCCTCGCCGCCCACGGCTTCGGCAAGACCGAGGTCACCCTGAAAGACTTCGACCTTGTTGACGACGAGCTCAACGGAAGCAACCATGACGGCGGCGACGGCGGCGACGACGACGACAAGTGGTAGTAGCGGCGGCGTTAATTGTCCTTGTTCGTGGTGCCTGCCTGTCTGTCGCTGCGCACAGCAGTGGTTAGGGCCACCACTTGAGAACCTCTTATTTTGGCCGGGGATCGTTTGTTGCTTTGGCTTTGTGGGGTACTGCTGTACCCTCATGGCGACTACATAGGGTGTAGTGTAAAACTTCTTGACTGAGTACGTACCTGGTCTTATGGCCAAGCTCTTCTATTTTGGAGATTTTGAGGCTCAAGTTCTCAACTACCAAGTTCTTGTGTGCGGATCGGTTCTAATGTTCGCCTTTTCTTGGACGGGTCCACGGGGATGTCATGTGACCTGTGTTCTGAAGGGAAACACGCGAGGGCAAGGGAGGGAGGGAGGGAGGAGGTTCCGCAGATTTCTTGTTTGGTTTTGGCGAGCGAGGGTCTCCTTCTCCGGGAAGAATAACAACAGCACTTGTCGAGGTTTTCGAAGCGCATCGAGAAGCACGGAATCGTGGGCAACGGAAGGCACCCTCTCCGGCCACTTCTTCTGCGTAAGATGCGGAGAGACACACAAGACAGCTACCAAACTGTCTTGTTGAGCCTGTTACCCGCAGGGGAGATGTCCCTATATGCTGTCTGGGAAACCGTAGACATATACAGGTACTTTCTGACGCTATGAATTCATTGCTAATCTGTCTCAGACTCTTTTCTATGATAGAGATGGATTCGTTGTGTCATATAGTAAGAAAAAAAAAAGAAAAAAAGGGACACCCGAATTGAGAAGGTTCCTGACGTTGTGCCTCCGTTGTGGTCAGAGTATGGTCGAGACTCAGCAACAAACGGACAACGCCCCCACAGCAGTTAGTGGGCCGTTAGTTGGCGGTGAAAGATTTGGTTCCTCCCTAGCGGGAGCAAAGCCGATAGTCGTTGCCATCATTGGCATGCCGTTTTTTTGTTGCTGGACAACGCAAAAAAATGCAAGTGTTATTTTCTGTCCCCACCCTTGGCTGGAGGGTCGTGTGTGCATGCATTTGTGTGCATTTTAATACGGTCGGCCCCGCGCTATTATAGTCACCATCTGGTCATGAAAAGACGTGGTCAGCCTTGCAGCGGCGCAAGAAGCGTCAACGCACGGTTTCGTATACCCACTCCGCGTTTGCGCGTGTGACTGTACGTTGTCGGCTGACCACTAGCAACAAGTAAACAAGATGTGGGATCTTGGCCCATACAATTCAAAATGGATTCTGCGGTTCGATAAAGAAGTGTCTGTCGTCGTGTATTGCATAATAGGAGTTTCTAGAAACCACGAAACACACACAACAACGTCACGGAGGGACTGGCTACCCACTTGAGATAAGTCTCACCCGGGGATGGATATACAGCAGTAGACTAGTCCCCCAGTCTTGATGTTCAACATACATACTGGTAAGCCAAGTAGAGGTGCAGCCTTTGTGAGAGAAACTACGCGCACGCGACCGGCCTTCGTATGCTGAGCCTATATATGCGTGCTAGCAAACTTCGGGCACCAACGAGCATTGCGAGTGTGCGCATCGCATCTATCTAGTCTATGTGCAGTACAAGTATGTATGATACATGCATGATGAGGCTGCTGGTGTATGGATTGGCGTATGCAACATGTGTGGGTGTGTTTTCGTCCTATTTTCTATTTGTATTTTTTTTTTTATCACTGCTGTAGCGTTTGAGTTGGTCACGAATTTCAAATTTCAAATTTTCAGGAATCCCCCCCTCCCAGAAACACCCCCCACACCGACCACAGATCCATCCATCACCATGTCGACCTCTCGAAAGCGCGACAGCACCTGCCTGTCCTCTCCCACGGAGGGGGGGAGACAAGGCGACGCCACTCGCCAGCGCGTCGCTGCCCCCCCTCAGTCCCCTCCCTGGCCAGCAGACATGCCGGCTCCGCCGCAATTGGTGGATGGAGCAAGAGGCCGCGGAGATCGAGGCCGCCGCGGCGAAGAGCACGCCGAAGCCGGACTCCGAGCACCCGGTGAAGAACCGCTGGGACGCTCACATGAGGATAGCCATCGGGGACGGGACGTTCAGCCCGAGGTACCGCCTGCGCCCGGACAAGTTCTTCAAGGTGCTGGATATCCTTGGCTCCGCCCTCTTCGACGCCGATTCACGTGAGCAGAGGCCCCGTGACCTATGTACATGATGTAAGATACCACACCCCCTGGAACGATCTTGGAAGCTCGATATCTTGATACATCCCGGCAGGAAAAGCAGTGACTGTGCCGAAAATGGCGGCGTTGGAACCCTGTCGTCGAGAGCTTTCCGAAAACGTATACTCCTTCGATTTCGGCATCCTCTTCGTCGTGGAGTAATCGAGCTTTGTAAATCGCGCTACAGCAGTAGGGTGTGTGATATCTTATGCAACGGTAATCAGCGCCACGACAAAGCAAAGAGGATGCATGAATCAAGCGAGACAATGCTGGAAAGCTCTCGACGAGACAGCAGTACCTCACCCGCCATATTTTCGGCACCGCCGCTCTGTGCGCCGTGGAGCAAGTGAGCTTTAAAAATCGGTCCAGGGGGGGTGGTATCTAATGTCACCTATGGTACGCATAAATGTGTTCGGCAAAGTACCGCAGGAGGAGTGGGTAGGGGGTCTCAGTGAGAGAAACCCTTCTGTGTCACCCCGGATGGGAGTAAATTGGAGTAAAAACCGGCACGAAAAGTGCTATGAGCGCTGATTTGAAGTGACGACAAAAACAAAAAAAACTACCGCAGACCTTAGTCTATTCTATATTGTACCATATTCAAATTTCAACCTTTGTCCGACAACGTCACATGGCGTGTACTGTACATGCAGGTGTGGGAACATGCCATGCATGAGGATAGAGGATAGGGTCCCTGATGAAGAACTTTGGGGTTTTGCCTGAGCTGTAGGTTTATATGCCCTCAGCTGTAGGGAATCGCAGCAATTGCTGAGGTAGCCGTGTGGCCGTGTGTTACCATGGTTTACTGGCGTTGTCAGACGTTATGTCATGACGGCATGTATCAAGATTCAGGAGTTATTCCGAATCATAATGTGTCCTTCTGTTTTAGAGCGCGACTACAATAGGTCTGGTGTGTGTTGGACTCTGGGCTGCATGGTGTACCACATGCAAGGCGACTACCAAAGGAAAGGAAAGCAGGAACAACTTGCAGGAACAACTTGCATCTATCTGCAGTCCGACTACATGTAGTTCCACAGATGCAGGCTGTTGCTGATTCATTGCTTTCCTTGTTTTAGCGTTCTTGTCTTTTCGCCTTGCGTATCCACCATGCAGCCCAGAGTTCAACACAATCCCGACCTAGTCGCGCACTGAAACAGAGGGGCACAAGACTCGGGACAACTCCTGAATCTTGCCATCACGTCTGACGTCATAGCCCACCCTGAGTGGTCGTAGATGCAGGTACAAGGTCAAAGAGGGGCTGAAGTCAACCGAAAGATTTAGGGGACGGATCGAAGATTCGGCAACTCAAAACCCTCCCCCACGAAGCACCCACACCTACCTTTGGGATAGAAATTGTTGAAGGAAGCTGAAGATAGTGGCAGCGGATACCATCGGGGAAAAGGCACGCGGGGGTGCGAAACATGGTCGAAACATCCGAACCGAAAACAGACCTCAGCCGGAGGTAACACATCATCGCATCACATGTCTATTTCTATACCGTAGGTGACACAAGATACCACACCCATGTGATAACATTTTTGAAGGTCCAAAAGTTATCACACGGGTGTGGTACTCTGTAGGGGGTGTGATATCTTGTGTGACCCGTGTGATAAACTGCTCTCAGAGGATTCCACCCCGCAGGGGGGGGATGTACTCATAGTCGTGCATGCCGTAGTCGTTAGACCATTGACCTCGCATCCCTACAAAGCCGGGACGGAGCACGCCGGGTTCTCACCGGACCAGGCCCTCACATCACCAAGCGCGAAGCGCTGTGAGGTATTCGGCGAGTCGCATGGAGGGTGGGTGCGCTGCATCCTGCTAAGGGTGTCCGGCATCTTGTGCTTACTTCCTTGCGTACGGATGACAGCTGCGTACGAACTAATTTATTTTCTGGTGCTTTCACTTCCAGAGACAGTTATAAGCACTGTGTAATTGCCTCGAGGATGCTTGAACATTTTACGACAACGTGGTGCGATCATCCCCTTTGCGCGGAGTGAGGGTTCTCGACCCCGCACAACATGATCTACTCGACCACCATTATGGTTACCGCCAAAAAAAAAAAACAGAGGTAAAACAAAACGGTAACCTGGTTGCCGAGTTCACGAAGTGAATTGGCTTGTTTTACAACGTTGTTGCCAAGCGACGAAAACCCAACCCCGATGGTAAACACCGAGAGGGGGGGCTTGTTTTACAACGTTGTTGCCAAGCGACGAAAACCAACCCCGATGGCAAACACCGGCGGGGGGGGCGCAGGGGGTGTGATAAGGTCACCCATGGAATGAACTGCGCCTACGCGACCCCACCCGCGGGAGTGTGTGTTTAGCAAGGGGGTGTGACAAAGATGGGTTGTGAAAATGTCACCTGTGGGAAGAAGTGCACCCACACAACCCAACCTACAGCGTGTGCAATAACGAGGGGTGTGATAATCATGGGGTTTGACAACGTTACACCTATCATGAAGAGCTCCCACAAGATTTCTGGGTTGCGGGTGGTGTCGTGTGGGCGTCAGCAGCACGGGCGGTGCCAGGCACAGCAGGCGTTGTTGGGGGAATGTCAGCAGTAGGTTCTGCTGCGCGGGCCTCGGCAGCTCGGGCGGTGCCAGGCACGCCGGGTGCTGCGGGAGTGTCAGGCGCCACAGAAAAAAATGACGCATTGGGCGTGGCGCTGCCGCTGGAGTCTGAGCCGCGATGCGTTGAGCAGTGTTTTGTGCTTCGTTCATCTCCGCGGTGTTGTCGGTCGCCATAGCTGGAGTGCAGGGTTGCGGCGTGCGCTATGTGTGTGATCACGGTCTACCACACCGGTGTCATAGGTGGCTCCGCGATATATGTTTGCGGCTCAACTTGGGGGTGCGGTATCTTCTGTGACCGTGTGATAAATCGATACTTTTTTCCAGGACGCAAAAAATTATCACACGGGTGTGGTTTTCTATACAATTTTTCGTGAGGGATGTGGTGTCTTCTGTGGGTGTGGTATCTTGTGTCACCTGCGGTAGACCGGCTGTGTCCTGCAGTAGCCGGGGAATCAAAGATGGGCGCAGAGTCAATCCAAGAAATGTGCAATTTCTGCGGTCATCTGCATTATGATAACTTGCGAATGTCGACGTCTGAACATTACCCTGGGATGTAGGATATTCACCGTGTATAGTCGGCGCCGAGTTTTTTGGTTATTGTTTCTTCAAATCCAGTGAGGTTGTCAGGAATGTTTTCTTTTGTGATGAGAATGCTGATGAATCCCCCCCCTACATCCCTCAGGAGGCAAACTCAGTTTTTTTTCAATCTCGGAAAACGCGTGAGCAAGTCCCAGCTGCTCGCGTGTGTAAAAACAATTTTGTCGACACCACCACCAATCTTGTTTATTTCAAGGCGCATTTGGCTTTGCATGGAAAAGGTCTCGAATATCATTCTCTGCTGCTCCACCCCCCCTCTATACCTCCGGTCCTCTCTTTTCTTAATAGTATATTTGTCCACATGCGCCCCACGCTTCCGCACAACTTCATTCAGCTACCCGCACGGACACAGGGTTGCACATCCCGCCCAAGGTGAAACTCATGGCGGCTCTGCGCATCTGTGCTCCCCAGTCCGGCGCCTATGCGGTGATTGATTGCTTCGGGGTCTCCGAGTCCATGTGTCGCCGCTGGTTGCGCCAAGTGATCCTGGCCGTGCTGGACAAGAAGAAGGAGTGCCGCAAGGCCGGGCTGCGCCCGTCCACCCTCAAAGAGATGGAACGGCTGGCAGACAACAACTTCAGGCTGTGAGGCAGAAAAATCCCTTGCTGTTTTAGTTTGTGGGCTTGTGGGCTATGTAGGTGTTGAATGCTAAGTTTTGTGCTCTTTTTATTTGCTCCATTTTTATCCCTCGTGTGCGTTTGCTTTGTTGGTTTGCTCCATTTTTTATCCCTCGCGTGCATTTCTTCGTGCTTTCGTCTTCTCTAGGAGTAGAAACCGCCTTAAGCAGCAGTTTCCTTAGTCTTACCTGTCGTGTTTCGGCTTCTCTTTGCGCCTTCCGTCCTCCCCGCAACATCGAACTGCCACGATGCCCTCGAGGGACCACAAAATCAAATGTGTTTTGGGCTACACGGCGGTGTTCAGTTTTTTGGGGAAAGTTGTTGCAGATTACGCTGCTTGCGCCCAATCAAGCGAGATTCAAGTATTTTGGAGTTGCGCCACCAATAAACAAATAACCGTAAGTACTGTAGCGACCTGAACGAAGTAGTCCTGATACACAGTAGCCAAACCTACCCGTTGTACTCGTTCAATATGTCGTGTGCCCTCTCGCGGTTGTATGTGAGATCATACCACCAGCTTGCCCTAGACGTAGTATGTGTCCGACAGCAGTTCAAGCCCCTTCGACCCCGAAACACGCGGAAACATTGCAAAACAACTTGTGGCGGTGCTGTACCTCTGAATTGGGTTGGGCTACTGCGTGGTTAGAAATGGAAACACCGAAACAACCACGGCGTGTGAGTAGATTCTCCTCAACTGAAAAAGAAATGATGCATGTACCTCGAGTGATGTATGTTCATCCTGAGCACCTACCCAGCCCCTCTTCCATTTCCTCTGATCGCAATCTAAAAGTGGTGGAGAGGACGCGTGCCCACATGGGTGGTCGTGATCGAGTGTCTCTGCCCACCCCACCGCGCCCAAGCCATGGACCTTAACCGAATCGACCGAGAGCCAAGAGCGGCAAGAGAGAGAGAGAGAGAGAGAGAGATGGACGGGGGAGCAAGGGCGACGCCCTCTTCGACAGAACAGAGAGGGGATCCCTCGCCTGCTTGGCACCACACTGCCGTGCCTCACACCGTTGGAAAGTGTTTATTTTCTCAGAGGCTCGCTGGGTTACGGTGTATGAGAATTGTGGGTATTTTTGTCTCTCTCAGGATCGTCATCAGTTGCTGCTGCTATGTGCACCCTGTTTTGATGTGTCAATACTAGCTGACAAACCTCAGGGTGCCTCATTGTCAACCAGCAGCGGGCGGTATTAGTAGTAGCGTTCAACGTGCCTGTGATGAAAACACAAATGTCTCGAGATCCGGTAAAGACGACTGAGCTCCGTCGTCTGTCCGCGTCGATTGCCTCGTAAGTCTCACGTTTACCGTAAAACTATTTAAACTGCATTAATTTGGAATGGTGGGCATTCGCTTTGAAGCTAGGTTTGTCTTCACTCATGCTCGGTGACGCCGGGGGTGGGGGCGCCGACCAGCTGAGTCGCTCGGTGCGTGGATGGGCAACGCTGTTGGAAACATGTTGATGGGCACTGACTTGAAGTTTGTGCCGAGCTACGTTTAGATCAATTGATCGCAAGACGCGTTGAAAGGGATTGATGTAGGGTTATTTCCTGCGTTTACTGTTTGGGACGCATGTCTTTATTTTATTTTTTGAATCCGGTTGCACGCCACGTTTGGGTACTTAAAATTTGTTTTCTTTTACTGTTTGGCCGTAAAAGTTGAAGGGATGTTGGAACTCGGACTTGAAATCCAAGAGTTCAACTGTTCTGGAGGGTGGTGGAATTATTGAAACAGGTGGAATTTATTGAAACAGCTTGAGGACTTCGAAAGCAAAATGTGGGAAGTTTTGGTGACTGAAAATGAGTGAACCTGTTTACGTCGAAGAGTTCAGGACTTCCCGCTTCCGTACTTACTGAGGCAAAATATGACTCCACTTTCACAAGCAAACCCAAAACACATGCGCTGCGCACTTGGGTCTGCAGGAACGTGGCGAGTCGCGATGTGTGTATTGCTTCTGTACACGTTTGGATACGGACAACTAGGTTTGAAGTACCGTTTTTTTTTTGGCCTGCCAGATCGAAATAGACTGCACTTTGTCAGGATCGACAGCAGTTCATAGAGAAATTATGAACAGTACTCGTCAGTTCACCGAGGGCCCATCACGATTCAAGGACGCCACAGCTTGTCCAAGAAGCCATCAGGGATCAAACCGTGAGCTTAGCTACGCAAGACACCATTCCGAGCGAAGCTCCAGGTCTGTATCGAGACGCAATCAATATTATTGTCTTTTCTTCTTTCTCTCCCCTCACGCACGACTCGAAGAGCTTGAACGAGAAAGTCTATCACGAGGCCGGTCCACACATACAAAGAGAGAGCACGCACACACGCACCGAGACTCACGTCTTTTCATTGGTCAGCCGGATAGCGTGGCCGATGATAATTGGCCACTCGCAAATTGGGGTCTCTTCTTCCTATCCACTTGCCGTTTACCGAGACACAAAAAATAAAGAAGTAAAAAGTTCCATTGGGGAAGAAGCCGTGGGCACAGGGCGATCTATAAAACACACACACACACGGCTCCGTTTGCTACAAACAACCGCGCCTCCACGCTGGCACGGCCCGGCCCTGTTTGAAGCGTAGGTCTCGCCCGCTGATGGCGATGTGCGAGCAATGCGCGGGGAGGCTCGCCCTCTGGTCCTCTAGCTCGTCTAGGTCTTCTGGCTCGAGCATCCTTTCCTTCGAGGCCTTGGTCACGTGCACGCCGAGAGAATTACCAGGGAAACATAGGTGAGAGATTGATCCAACCGAGAGTGAGTTCGGGGTGTCGTTCGTCGGATGTTGAGTGAAAATATATCCGGTCCTCCTGCTGAAAACTTCCATGTCTTCTTCCATGGGTGGTCTACTATTACTTGTGGATAAACGGTTGCGCTCAAGTACCATGCTCTTCGTGCGATGGTATTTCCTTCAGAGCAAACAGTACACGGTACAACCTCTGTATGAAGTATCATCTGCTTGTAAGGCAAGAGACAGAGTGTAATGTGGGTCACAAGTAGCCCAGAAGAGACGGAAGCGAGAGTCCGGCCACTCGCAAAAAATACAGTTGAAACCAGAGAAAGCCTGGAAATACAACAAGCAGGGTGCAGGGCGGGCAAACCAAGTACTGTTTGAGGTACTGTAGAATCCATCGCTCTAATTTGCAAGCGGAGTCAAAATGACAAAAAAAACACCCTACAGGAAGCACCACTTCTGTTTGGACGTGTAGGGACCATCCATCTATGCACCTTTGTATCCGAGGGTCCTAATTTTTTATTTTTCAAACGGTGGTACTCATGAAGAAACAACTCTATAACCCTTCTTCTTGTTCTCGTGCACTGGCTGGGACACTGTTCGTAACATGCTCCTGTCCCCAGAGGAACGCGACTTGACCTGTAAAACATGTATTGGAACCTCTCACCCCACGGGGAACGCCTCAGTAACTGTGCTAGCACTTTCGGCACTAGGCACGCCAACTTTACTGTCCCCTCCACGCACACCAAAATCCACGTATTGCGCACCCCGCGCTACATGCCCAAGGGTTCTCACCGCCCAACAACACCCACACCTCACCGCGATTCCCCGTAAACGGCAATGCAGCGGTTTGTCTCAATCCCGACCCTTTCCGCAAACACTCCACGCACCAAATACTAATACTGGTAGTTTTTTTCACTACCAAGGATATCCTTCCCTCACCTTTGTCCCCCTGGGGGATCTGGAGCGAGCGGTGTGCCTCAACCCCGACCCACTAGTCTTGACGCCTCCCCACACAATAGACCCTAGTATGTTCAACTCTCACGTCTATATCCTCAAGTACCTCCCCCCCAAACCTCACCTTGGTCCCCCTTAAGAGTCTGGAGCGGTCTGCTTCAACCCTGACCCACCGCCCGCACGCCGCGGTCTTCTTTCTCTGTTCGGCCTCCTTCTGGTGCAACTCCTTCAAGGCGACCTCTTGCCGTCGTGCTCGTGCCCGATCGACATCTCTCTTCGCGCGGTCCTCGATGTCCGCCTGGGAGAACATGACCCTCTTCTGCTAGAGCAGGGAAATATAATGAAGAAGAGGGGCAACCAGACGTGATGGACCGTTCTGCTTCGCCGCCAGCTTGCGCCGGTCTTTATACAAAGCCAGCGACACGACGCGCTTTTGCGCCGTGCCTGCACGAAAGCACGTCTGTCTACAAATTTCTACGACGAAGCCTCGACTTCCCACTATATACCGCTTGACGTATCCTACCAACACCCCTATGTTGTCGTCCCCATATGTTCTGTAGTAAGCGTAGGTGCTCTGTGCTTTGTACAAAACAAAGAGAAAACAAGACAAACGCATCAACAACAAGACTAACGCATCAGCAACAAGGCAAAGGCATCAACACGGTTACCTGTTCTCTGGCTAGCATCCTCTCGACTTCTCGACGACGGTTGTCCTCCCTCTCTCGATCCAGGCGGTACGCCGCTACCTGCTCATGTTGCCTTCGCTGTCGCCTCCTCTCCTATCACATTGGTGTAGTTGTTCTTATGGTTAGTGCTATTGGTTCTCTTTGAAAAATGATCGTTGAAAAAATGATTGTTACAGATGTGATTGTTAGAAATGCAAGCAAAACCAGAAAAATAACCAGTCTGGCCTCCATTTAATACCTCCTCCTTCGGTCATATGAGAGAGGGAGAAAGCTGTTGAGGTCTGTCTCATGCTCACCCAAACAATACGGTAGACGTTGAGGATAGCGATCAAATGCGCGAAAACCGCGAACCGTATCGTTCATGTTGCCTCATCATGCTATTGGTCACCGGCTTGAAGCGAGGCTGATGCCACGACAAGGGAAACTCAAAATTCAATCGAAGCTCTTGTCCCCCATTCAGGGCAGCGGGTAACCCAAAAGTAATTACTAAGATACCGAAGTACAAAAAACATGCCGAATACTTTGGCACCGTCATCGGCCCGCCAAATGATATCGTGTTCCATTCATGTGGTTCTTCTAATTATTTTCTACCGCCATCCCATCATTTTCCCATCACGGCATTTAGTAACTTCTCTACCGCATGGTCTTGCACCCGCTACAGTACCGCACGATTTGGTCTTCCCTACCGCATGCTCTTGCCTTCTCTACTGTACTATTGACTTCCGTACCGTATGATCTGGCTTATGCTACCGTATGGATCGCGGTCTCTACCGGATGGCCTGGAAATTTCCATCGTAGGATCTGGCTATCTGTGCGGTATAGTCTGGCCGTGTTCACCGTACGGTCTGGCCTAACCTACTACCTCATGGGCTGGCGTTCCCTTCCGTATGGTCTTTCCTTCTCTACCGCATGGCCTGGCCTTTTCCACGATATAATCTGGCCTTCTGTACGGTATGGTCAGGCTGTGTTTACCGTACGGTCTGGCCTTGTCTACTACCATATGAGCTGGCCTTCTCTATCGCACGTTATTGACTTCTCTACCGAATGGTTTGGCCTTGTCTATCGTAGGGATTGCGTTCTCTACTGAATGGGCTGGCCTCCTCCACTGTACGCTCTTGCCTGCTACCGTACGATCTGGCCTTCTATAGTGTATGGCCTTGCCTACTCTACAGTCGGCCTGACCTTTTTTCACCGTACGATCTGGCCCTTTCTACCGTATAGATTGCATTCTCTACCGTATGGCCTTGCCTTCTCTACCGAAACGCTGTATCTACCGTATGGATTACGTTCTCTACCGTACGGTCTGCCTTCTCTACCGAATGGGCTGGCCTTCTCTACCGTGCGCTTTTGCCTTTTCTAGCACACGGTCTGGCCATCGCTACTGTATCATCTGGCGTTCTGTACCTATGTTTTGGCCTTCTCCGCCGTACGGTCTGGCTATCTGTAAGGTATGGCCTGGCCGTGCTTACCTTACGGTCTGGCCTAATCTACCTCCGCATAGGCTGGCCTTCTATACCGTACGGTCTTGTTTTTTCAACCGTACGATATTGTCTTCTCTGCCGCATGGTTTGGCCTTGTCTACCGTATGGATTGCGTTCTCTACCGCATGGTCTTGCCTTCTCTACCGGATAGGCTTGTCTTCTCCACCGAATGCTCTTGCATTTTCTACCGTACACTCTGACCTTCTCTAATACATGTCTTGCGTTTTCTACCGTATGGTATTGCCTTCTCTACCGTACGGTATTGACTTCTCTACCGCATGGTCTAGCCTTCTTGCCTTCTCCACCATACGCTCTTGCTTTTCTACGGTACGTTCTGGCCTTCTCTACTGCATGGTCTTGCCAATACCGTACGCTCTTTCTTTTCCACCGTCCGTTCTGGCCTTCTCTATTCTACCGTACGCTATTGACTTTTCTAACGTATGATCTGGCCTTCTATACCGTATGGAATACATTTTCTATCATATGGCCTGGCCTTTTTCACCGCGATCTAGCATTTTCTACCGTATGGATTGCATTCTATACCTAATCCGCTGGCCTTCCCTACCGTACGCTCTAACCTTTTCTACCGTACGGTTTGACCTTCGCTACCGTACGGTCTTGTGTTCTCTACCGTATGCCCTGGCCTTGTCCACCGTACGATCTGGCCTTATCTACCAGATGGATTGCGTTTTCTACCGTATGGTCTTGCCTTCTCTACCGGATGGACCGGGCTTCTCCACCGTACACTCTTGCCTTTTCTACCGTTTATTCTGGTCTTCTCTACATGATGGCCAGGCCTTCTCTACCGTAAGAATTGCGTTCTTTATCGGATGGGTTGGCCTTCTCCACCGGATGCTCCTGCCGATTCTACCGTATGTGCTGGCCCTTCTCTACTGCATGGTCTTGCCTTCTCTACCGCACGTTCTTGACTTGTGTACCCTACGACCAGGCCTTTTCTACCGTATGGATTTCGTTCTCTACCGAATGGGCTGGTATTCTCCACCGTATGCGCTTGCCTTTTCTACCGTACGGTCTGGTCTCCTCTACCGTAAGGTATTACCTTCTGTACGGTACGGCCTGGCCGTCTCTACCTTACGGTCTGGCATTCTGTGCCGTGTGGGTTTGGCCTTCGATACCGCATGGTCTTCTTTACCTTCTCTACCTCAGGGTCTTGCCTACCTTACGGTCTGGCCATATCTACCGTACGCTCTGCCATTTTCCACCGCATGGGCAGTCCTTCTTTACCGTGCGACCTTGCCTGTTCTACCGTCCGGTCTAGCCGCGTTTACCGTACGGCTTGGCCTTGTCTACCGTATGGCTAGCCTTCTCTCTCGCATGGGCTGTCCTTCTCTAACGTACGATCTTGCCTTATCTAACGTATGAGCTGGATGTCGCCGTTTCTACCGTATGAATCTCGCCTTCGCTACCGTACGCGGAATATTCCACGGAAGCGTGTTTTCTTGAACATATATGGAGGCGTTTTTCCCCGAAAACGTGGAAAGAAGGAGCCGGGATTTTTTGGGGCTTGCTACTTTCACCGATCCGTGTTTTTGACAGAAGCATCGGACAAGCGCACCGCGGGCGCTGTAAGATCACTGAGAACGCTAGAAAGACCTGCCAGACTCACGTCCAGGTCTGTTGTGGAGATGGACAAGCGGCAGAAGCGGCGTTCAGTCCGTTCTTGGCCCAAAACTAGACATTGCGTGGTGCCTTTGTACTGTATGTCTGGCCTTATCTACCGTACGATAGTACTTTCTCTGCCTCGTGGTCTTGCCTTATCCTCTGAGGCGTTACGGTTCAAAACTACACACAAGTTCTTCTATTGTGTGTACGCGTGAACCAAGGCCAGTATCCTCGACAGATGCTGGGTAGATGTGACCCTTGCCAAGCTTGCCTAGGTCATCTCTACACACGCCTTCAGGGCTTATCGCGAGAATGATTCCCTTGGCAACCCTTTTCCCGTCGACATATACGCAGACTTACCACTAGATACATTCCCACAAGGTAACGCCGGGACTTGTGAACCACGACTCTGACCATCCGACATTAAGAACACGAGTGAGCCTTTCGCGCGGAATGCGAGCGTCAAACCTCCAGAAAATATACTCTTCAGCTAAAAAAAAACGAGAGAAAACAGCCTCATTCGATCTCGACACTGATGCCGTCGGTCCGTTGGCACGAAAGCAATTTTACACCCAACAACATAAAAATATCGGAAAATATACGGTAAGGAAAAACACTGGAAAAATACGTGTAACGGAACCATCAAACACGAACGAGAACGGTGATTTCACCTCGTCGAACTTGGCGGCCTCGTCGGCCCTCCGCCGCTCCTCACGCTCTCTCTGCTCCCTCTCCTTCGCCTCCTTCGCCGCCCGCCAAGCTTCCACCTCCTTCCTCTTACGCTCCCGCTCCCTCTGTTCCGCCGCCGCCGCTGCCCTACGGTAGTCCTGTTGCTGTGTAGTCTGGACCGTACCGTTTGTGTTACCGTTTGGTGTAAACTCTTCGCAAGTTCCGTTTGGGCACTCGTTGGTTTCGGCGTCCTGTTAGGGGCGTGGCGATGGTGGAAGGGGGGGTGATAGTACTGTTTTTTCCGGACTGGACTTGTGTTTCCGCAAGGGCACCGTGGGGGTTCGATGAGTTCGGCATCGGCGGACGTGATCGGGGCGCTGGGTTGGGGTGGGGGTGGAGGTGGGAGTGTGGGGGGACGTGGATTGCATGTCAGTCAGTGAAGCGTGTGGAATTTTTGTCAATGGTAGTCACATTCGTAAGAGGAGCTCCGTGATATGGATATAAGCTAGGGTATACATCTTTTGTTTGGATGACACATGGGATCCAATGTCTTGGGCTCACATTTTTCACTCTCTCTGCATCTAATCGTGTGTCATCACTAAATCTTGCCATCAGCCCTTCTAGGGACAAGGTCCTGATGGCACGGACAATCAACATCTGCCCATAAAACTCTCTATTGAGAGGATCCGGTTATGATTTTTTTCTCGTCGGATTTGGCAGCAATGCGACGGTTACACTGACACGACAAGTCGTCGAGCACAACGACGGGCTTGGTGTGTGCCTGGCTTTTCCAGCACCAGGGGAGAAAGCGTTTCGAGAAGGTCGGCTTCGCCATGCCCCCAGCAGGTGACATCGTCTCCCCAAGCTACGCAGTTGAGGCATCCAGCAACTCTGCTTGGAAGAACGAGTTGGGATTCAAAACGCCTCGAGGGACACGCGTAGGAGTGTAGAGTCCTCCCGGAGCGACGAGAGTACGAAACTTCCTGGGTCTCTGGTGCGAGCGGCATTTGCCAATACCCTTGCAACATGTCGAGACTACCGCACATAGCAAGTTGCTTGGCCTATGCTCGCTAGCTCAATAGGTTTTGCATCACCCGCCGGCTTTTTCCCTCCGTTGCGTTGACTTTTCGATAGTCGCTTCGGAAACCGCCCTTTTCGGGGCGCCTCAAAAACAGTGGTTTTCGAATTGTAAGAGACTATCGGAAAGTCAACCACGTGCTGGAAATAATCCCAGGAGTGATGCCCAATCAAGGAGCTCGCAAGCAGAGGCTTAAGCCAAGCAACTTGCTACGGTAGTCTTGACATGTTGCGAGAGCATTGGCAAATGCCGCTCGCACCAGAGACCCGGGAAGTTTCGGGCTCTCGTCGCTCCGGGAGGACTCCACGCTCCTACTTTTGTCCCGTGCGGCGTTTTGAATTCCAACCCGTGCTTCCAAGCAGAATTGCTGGATGCCTCAACTGCATGGTTTGGGGGGACGACGTCACCTGCTTGGGGGCACGATGAAGCTGACCTTCTCGAAACGCTTGACCTCGTGCTGGAACGATTGGAAGAGGTAGGATTTTATGTATGTAGCGGGGCACAAGCGCACCTTGTTCGGTACCTCTGCACCTCACGGTGTGGCAAAGTATACCCTGCTGACGAACTCAAGCATGATCGCGACCGGTTGAGCGGCCAACCAAGCTAAGGCGTCGGGACAGTGCTGAAAGAGTTCATACAAATCCTTACGGGTCGCAATTTGGCTGCGTACGTCGTTTGCCTCGCATGCCTCCACTTGTTGCACCTCCGCGATAGTTATTGGAGCTATGTATGGCTGGAAATCCCAATCGCACGAAACGAGTGACTCCGAAAAAGGCCATCGCCAACAATGCTTGCACACCTGAATAAGTGGGGACGGGGCCACTTATCCACCTGTCCAAGCATTGTTGGCGATGGCTTTGTTAGGAGCCACTCCTTTCGTGTGATTGGGATTTCCAGCCATGTATAGCTCCGAGAATTATCGTTGAGCTGCCACAAGTCGACCCAAGAGAGGTAACGACACACGCAGCCAATTTATGGCCCGTAAGGATTGGCATGAACTCTTCAGCACATTTCCGGGCATCTTGGGCTAGCTAGGCCACGCTTCATACGGTTGCGATTATGCTTGATTTCGCCAAACCTGCATAGGATATGGTCGCCAGTGTGGTGACATCACACCATCCTGAGGAAGGTAAAGCCGTTCTCATGTCCCTGATGCTTCCAATGAGCATTGGGTACTGCAGTTTCCTGACGCAGGTGCCGCGATCAAAACTGATGCTGGTGCGGACATGAATCATGAACCGTTGGGTTTTACCAACGGTACATTCCGTGGGTGCTGGGGGAGTCTGTATTACATGTTCCATCCGTTCACGTGAGGTCTGCGTCGGTTTTTATGCCAAGCAAACCGGACGTCACGCGGCCCTCTAAGCAACACGTCCGGGGATTCGCGTCGCGTTCCACTCTGGGAGAGTTCGCAGCATCGGCAACGCCGTTGACGGACTCAGTTGGTCGTTCGGAGGATATTTGATTTGTTGGGTCCGTTTTATATCCGTTCTTTGATTTTTGGGTGTAGTTGGCTTATGACCACGGAAGGCGTCCGCGTCGGTTGGACCAGCACGAATACTAGAAGGTAGTGAGCGGAGACCGGAACGGTTTTAAATATTAAACGTGGAGACAACAACAACAACAACAACAACAACAACAACAACAACAAGTTGGCCGCATTGTTCATGACGACGAGGGGTTGTTGCGTGTACTAACCGAAAATCGTTATGTTCTGGGAATTGCAGACGTGGCCCAAGAGCTGCAGGTACGACTCATGGTGTGCGCTCAACACGAAGGGCCATGGTCATCGTGGTTGGGTTGCGACTCTGCAGCAGCAAAAGGAATAGACTATTGCCGTTGGTCTCAAATGGGTAAAACAAATGTGCTTGTGAAAAAGCAGTGTCTGCATTGCATGGATTCAAAGACTGGGGAGATCGTGCCTCGTCTTTTCGGGGAAGGCTGGTCATGGCCAGGAGAAGAAGTGTTGCATGTCGATTACTTGCACATGGGTACCAGTGGACCCTCGAATAATCTGTTCGTGCCGCCCAATGCATGCGTCCTTTCGACCTCGGTCTGCAAGTGACCAGGGGGAGGGAGTGGGAGGGGGGAAACACATACATATATAGGGAAACAACGAAGCTAACTTCACAAAAGTCAGCTACATACAATTCTGTTCGGGAATATGTATAGGGACCATTGCGGTATTCGCGCTTGTATCCGAATCGCCCTTGTATTTTCGAACTGAGTGGTAACACTAGATCAGGACTTCTGCGGTTGTCAGGTTTGGTAGGGGTTGCTCGCTCACGGCTTGTTGTTCGTGCTGTCGCTCCTCCCGCCAGGCCTTGGCTAGACGCCTCTTCTCCTCGTTGTAGCCCGTGTGCCTGCCGTGCCATCTTAAGTGCTCCTCCACCTGTGTTGACACACATACGCATGAGAAAAACGAAGAACCGTCGGGGTGCTGAGATTATTCCCGTTCATGGTACCAAAATCATGCTCTTGCCTGCGGAGGATATGGATTCGTTGTGTCATGAGAAAGAGAAACAAACCACCTGGTCCCCGTTTTGGCGGGGGCGTGGTGATTTTTATGTCGCCGGCCGGTAGGCTCGCGAGGCCGGGGTCTGCCATAGTCCGAAGACACCTACATGCACTGAATGTTTGGAACGATTAAAAGTGTTCCGCGCTTCAGTGTGAAGAGCGCACCTCGTGCCTGTTCGTATCGGGGGGGGGCGGGGTCTTTCCCTCTCACCGTTCGATCAGGCCCCTTTCTTCTCCCCGAAAGGCAAAGGAGCGTGATTCCATCCTTGACGACGACTGGCCTATTCTCATTGGTCAGATGGCTACTTCCGCGCGGCAGATGCTGATTCGAAACACGTACCTTCATACCTTGTACATGGCGAAATGAGAATTTTTTTGCTATTCGTGGAGGTACTTACTGGGCAGAGCTCAGGCAGGACAGTTGGTTGTTCCCCGGGAAAACAATCATAGCAATGACGACAACACCAAAGAAAAGCAAAGCAAGCCCGGGAAAAGCACGTCGTGAGCCAGCCTCCCTCCGAGTTGCCATAAGTGCGCTTGCGCCGCAAATGTCCCGCGTGTAGCTGGACGAATATGTACTCGGCAGAACGATGGAGTTGTGCGGCCATCAACGTGCCTGGGTAATCAGTACGTCTCATGGCAGACGCGAAGCGGGACTCTTTGTCTGCGCGGTCAATGTGGCCCGAAAAACAACTAGAAAAAGAGAGAACATATTCAGCTACTGATCGTTCCAGCAGATTGAACGGGCGGCACTCAGGCATCCCAAAGAGATCAAAACATACAAAGGAAGGTTCTAAAATCGCACACGGGGGGGATGGAAGAACTACTGACCTCGTCGGCTGATCTAGCGGGCAGCATCGTCTGCGCGCGCTGTAGCAGGGAGGACACGGCCGCTCTGTCTGCCGGCGAAGATGGTGGCGGGCGTGCTTCGTGCTTGGGCCCTCGGCTCCTTGCCTGCGACGATTATCACGCCATGGATCAGTCGTCCACCAGGCTTCTACGTGAGCAAAAATACTGGATAAAATATAGATCATACAAAGTTGGGGGTACGGTAAGGGTTAGGTTTTGCGTGCCCCCTGCCTGGTCTTTCTTCGTGGTTAACATATTTCTTTTGCGTAGGCTGTCCTCGTGGATATTGCTTGATTTGAAGTCTGTTTTTTTACGTTGGACAAGAGTCGGTTCTACGTGTCTACAAGAGGTTTTACACGACTTTTACAATAACCGTACACAACGGCTGACGGCGGGGAGTGTGTTAGGTTGTTGGTTTCTCACCTCTTGAGCTTCCTGCACTGCTGGTCTACTGACGCCAACATGGTTGTCTATATTTTCTCGGTTCTTTTACAATTTCCATCCCTAATGTAGTCTATACGCTTGAAGCATTTCATGGTTACCCCCCTGGCGCCGTGGTACGTATGTGAGATTCCTCCTTTGCGCGTACCGAAGAAGGTATTAGTGAGGGCTGGATTGTTGTGTACAGCGAACTTCAGCCGTCGTTCGACATTGTCGGTGAGCTCATCACGTCCATACGGGCCAAGAGCGGAGGGGCCGTTCCCGGCCATTACGGACGTGACGAGCTGCACGACAACGGCGAACGACAGCTGAAGTTCGCAGCAGACAACAAACGTAGCCATCAACAACACCTTCTTCAGTACGTGCAAAGAGGATCTCACACACATAAACCGTTCCGTGTGTGAGAGTCCTCCTCTGCGTGTCCTGAAGGCTACTTTTGTCGTTTGTTGCGACGTACAGCCATCTCTCGCAACTATCGTCCAGCCCATCACGTCCGGAGTGGCCAAGAACGGAGAGGGGCCGTTCTTGGCCATTATGGACGTGATAAGCTGAACGATAGTGGCAAACGACGGCTGCCCGGCGCAACAGACGACCAATTAGCCATCACCAACACGTACTTCAGTACGCGCAAAGGAGGAGTCTCACACACATACAACGGCACCAGCGGGATAACAGCGAGTAAGCGTATAGACCATATTCTGACGCGGGAGGCGCACCGCCGTAGAGCGCGCAATGTTGCAAACAAACTAGACATCACCAACGTCTCCTCAAGTTCGCGCAAAGGAGGAATCTCACACACGTTCCGGTCACGTGCGTGAGCTTTCTCCATTTACGTGTGTGAGGTTCTTCCTTTGCGCCTACGGAGGCTAGTTTTTGTTCTGTTGCGACGTTCAGCCGGCGCTTGCCATCGTCGTTCGCATCACGCCCACAAGGGCCAAAAACGGCGCCATTCACGGTCCTTAACGTGATGACAACGATACCGGCGAACGACGGCTGAACTTCCGCAACAGAACCCAAACCAGCCATCACCAACACCCTCTGCCGCAAGCGCAAAGGAGGAGTCTCGCACAGGTGCCACGGCGCCAAGGGGATAAGAGTGAGCCCCAATTAGCGTGTAGACTACACTCTGACGCGAGAGGCAAACCGCAAGAGAGTACGCAATGTTCTCGCACACCCCCTCCGGCGAAAACCTGACTCTGATCACAACATGGTGGTGGCTACTGTTGACCCCGCTCTATGTCCGAATCGCTAACAACCGCGCCGTGAGGGCCGCCGCAGCTCAGCCGTACGGGGCGTTGCACGAAGATACAAGGTGGCAGGTGACCGACCGACCGCTTCCTTCAACATCTGGACCAACCAAAACAAAACAGCCGAACAGGACGATAACAGAAGCCGCGAAGGAATTTACCCGAGCTATCCTTGAAGCAACGCAAACATTTATGTCGGACAGAGACTTGGATACCGCGTATGCCGAAGCGGTGTTGAGAGTTCGAAAACGAGAACAGCAGTCGAGGTCACGGCACTACGGAAGGGACGCCAGGAGATGAAAAGCCCACAGGACCTCAGCAGCATAGAAGACGCCCAGGGCGGCATGCGCAAGAGAGTGCGTACAGTAGTCGATGGCCACATCTATGGCCACTTGGATAAATACCACCCACCACTTCCACCACTGCGAACAGCAGCAGCAACGACAACAACGGCAGCAGTGGCAGTGGCGGCGGCAGCGATTCACACCTGTGTCCACAGGCGGAGAAAGCAGTCGTGCTCGTGCTGCGGCCACCCACCCGTGGCTCCCCCCTCCCGTTGTATCTGAGAAAACAGCAGCAGCACCATCAACAAGTGCATTAGTGCATGAATTGAGAGGGACGCACAGCAGGGATTTCATGCGTCGAAGCGACGAAAAAAAGCACACCCGAGCCCCGCTCCACCGACCCTCGCTCACCAGGCGGTTGATCTGCTCCACGGCATCCCCGTATCTTTCCCTTCGCCGTTGTCCCGAGTCCCCGCCGCTTCTCTTGTTGGAGACCCCTCGGCATTCTTTGCCTTCTTCTTCAGTATCCGCTCCTTTTCTCTCTTGTACTCCCTCATCAGCAGTTACGTGTTCCTCACCCGCACTACGTCGTCGTGTTGCTGCTGCTGCTGCTGTCGATGGCCTGCTGCCGGCGGTTGGTTGCATTGCAGGCACATCCCTTCTCTGTCTCTCAAAACGGATGGCCAAGAGAAGTGAAAATAAACAAAGTCATATGGAGGGATACAGAAGAGGATGAAAAAACATTCAAGTACGAATGAGGAATTTAGCGAAACGAAGACGAGAGTTAGAGCGAGATGTAACAGAGGAGAGAAGGAAAGCCCCGATGAGATTGTCGGGGGGTGACCGCTACAAGTGGGCGTGGTGTGTGCGGTTGCGCGTGCGCATGTTATCTTTGTTGAAGTACAGCGTAATACTGCTGTAGGATTTGTGTAGTAAGACAGATGCAGCTGTTTGATTGCTCTATGCAATGATGATATTATTAGGGAAAAAACATGATACGAAGATGCGGTATAATAAGCAACGTTTGGTACATAGAACGTAACATGTAGCGACGAGTTTAGCGAGGAGCTCGTGAATGAATTGATTGTTAATCACAGGATTGTACAAGGTTTTGGGCGCTGCGCGCCCGCGCTTTATTCGAAGCGATTACAAGGCAATGTTTTCTCTGAAAGTGGGTGTAGGATGTTGTTAAAATGAAGGTAGGCACCGATGGCAGTTAAAGTTTCCGTGAAGGTGGAGTTCCCATGATGGAGGTTCGTGTGTGTGTGTGATTTAAGGAGATGTAAAGGTCCATTATTTGTTTCCCATCGCCGTGCCCAGCACCTCTCTATTATCTGATACACATCCAGAACTCAGAACTGCAAAAAATAGACAAAATTGGCGGCTGAACTGCGAATGAAGAAAGGATGCTCGGGCGGGGGAGTCGTCGAAGAGCAGCCGGCGAGAGAGATGAAAGCGGAAGATAAAAAATGTGGAAAGTCCACCAAAGTGCCAAATTTCCAGAAGGAGGCACACACAGAGAGGGCCGCAGAGAGGGGTGACAGCAGCCGGCAAGAGAGATAAAAGCGGAAGATAAAAAAAGTGGAAAGTCCACCAAAGTGCCAACTTTCCAGAGGAAATGCTTTTGGGCGCAGCCCCCGCATTATTTTAAGCGATTCCAAGGCAACGTTTTCCTGAAAGTGGGTGTAGGAAGTTTTTTTTTTCTTAATATGACACAACGAATACATCTCTATCATAGAAAAGAGTCTGAGACAGATTAGCAATGAATTAATAGCGTCAGAAAGTACCTGTATGTCTACAATTTCCAAGACAGCATATAGGGACATCTCCCCTGTGGGTAACTGGCTCAACAAACAGTTTGGTAGCTGTCTTGTGTGTCTCATATATGTTATGTTGGGAAGGTGCAGAAGAAATGTGTTAGGTACTGTTGGGTAGTCTGGCGTTTTGTGTTCCGTGAAGGTGGAGTTTCCATGATGGAGGTTCGTGTGTGATTTAAGGAGATGTAAAGGTCCATTATTTGTTTCCCATCGCCGTGCCCGGTACCCCTCCATTATCTGATACACATCCAGAACTCAGAACTGCAAAAAATAGACAAAATTGTCGGCTGAACTGCGAATAAAGAAAGACAGCACTACCAATTTAACGCACTACTTGAACTGCAAAAAAAGAATAGCACTACGAAACAACAGACCATTCCGACGAGACAGCGGTGAAGAGAGAAAAGCAAAAAATTAAAGACAACGTGGATACACGGACACACACACCGAGAGGAGAGAGAGAGAGAATACGGTACCAAGGTGATAGGAGGTGAGTGCATACCGTGTGAAGGTGTTCGAAGAAAAACAAAATGTACAGCAGCAGTAGCACACGGAATCGGAACAAACAACAAACCATTCCGACGCGAGAGCGGTCAAGAGAGAAGGCGAAAATGAAGAGAGAGTGTGGATAGACAGACCGTCAGAGACATAGAGAGACGGAGGGACGGAGGAGAAGGAGGCACACACAGAGGAGAGGGTCGTACTTCGAGTGGAATGCGTGGTATGATGGTACATTAGTGCCAAATTTCCAGAGGAAATGCTGCTCTGTGAGAGTCCGCAGTAGCACAACCATCGGCACAAACAACAGACCATTCGGACGCGAGAGCGGTCAAGAGAGAAGGCGAAAATGAAAAGAGAGTGTGGATAGACAGACCGTCAGAGACATAGAGAGACGGAGGAACGGAGGAGAAGGAGGCACACAGAGAGGAGAGGGCCGTACTTCGAGTGGAACGCGTGGTATGATGGTACAGAGCGGGGTGACAGAGCAGCAGGCAGGCGAGAGAGATAAAAGCGGAAGACAAAAAAACTGAAAAGTCCACCAAAGCGCCAAATTTCCAGAGGAAATTTCCAGAGGAAATGCTGCTCTGTGAGAGCCCGAGAAAACCGGAATAGAGCGCTCACAGGAGCCGAAAAGAGGCGAAATGGAGCGTTCTGAGAGAAAACTTAAATTGTAAGAAGACTAATTGTAGCGAGATCACTAGGTGTTGCGAGCCCCAACAGGCTCACTCCCAACCATCCCTCTTCTACCGATCTCTGCAACTGAGCTAGGCTCAGTGCCACCGGCAGGCAAATGATGAAAGTAGCTCTGAGGCAACAATGATACCAACTTCAGTCTCCACGACTGCACACAGACTTAACCGCCTTCAGACGACCCTTGGGTACAGGGCACCTCGCCACCACACATTGATACAGTCTTCATGCTATCTATTCCGGGCGTCAGCTAACCCTTTTTGGTGTGTTTGGATGCACCACTAGCCGGGGTAAGGGCAGGGTTCCAACAACTTTATTGTCTCAATTTCCGAAATTATATCTCTACCAGCAGGAAGAGGAGAGAAAGAAGGGGGGAAAAAGGGTGGAGAAAGGGGGGTGCTCACGATTACGCATGCCATACCCATCAGACCATAGACCTCGCATTCCTGTAAAGACAGGACGAAGCACACCGGGTTTACGCCAGACCAGTCTCGAGAGGGGGGGAAGGGGTGGGGGGAGGGGAGGACAAGCCCGAATATACACCGTTCTCGAACGGAGGATACACCAAAAAAATCCTGCCTGGTTGTATCGTGGGTGATTCTCTGTTGAGCATGAAACCCCACTAAATCATCCCCCCTCACATACACGCCATCCTCCGAGACATGAAAACAAAAGTACATCCACGAATGAGGACGCTTGATCTCATGCTGGCTCAATCAATTTTGTTCAAGTCAGCACATGTGTCCGTCTTCTTGCTGCGTGATCAACCACCCACACGCATCATTCCCGGCATTGGAGTTAGAGTCGCCGCTGGTGCAATAAGTATGTGGCAAGAGAATGTAACCCCACTATGCCGGGGAAAATTTGGGGTTCCAGCAGTGTCAGCGATCCCAGTGCCAAGCGATAGTGATCATCTCATATCGTGTACCCGCACTATTCGGACGGCACCATCAACAGGGAACTCACCCTCGTTCCCCTTGATTTACAACTTCATATTTGGATGCGGCTCCGAGTGCGAATACCCGGTTCACGTAGTTGCGGAATGTCCGTTGCACGACAAGGAGAAAGAAGTCTACGTGACTGAGGTCGGAAAAGTAGAAGAAAGCTGTGAGGCATTGGAATAGCCAGGAGAAGACGGTAGCTGCACTGGGGCATAGGAAGTGGGCTGAAAAGGCGGGAAGAGATAAATGATAGGATGGACAGGCTGGGGAAGACATTTTTTACCCACCTTTGGCAAAGCAGGAAGGAAAGATTGGCCATCGGTGGTCGGTCCTGTGGGGAAAATACTCTGTCGTCTCGAGGACGCGTGGTCAATGGTCTACCCGCTAAGGCATGCAAAACATGAGAGTACGCCCCCCACCCCCCTTGAGTTACCCAGACCTCTTTCCATGACAACGTATAAAACGGGCTTTATCTTACCGGCTTTTTCTCCCATTCCTTGACTTTCCCTCGAAGTTCTTCCACCTATTGGTCGGCCAATCAAAACGGCAGGCGCGACGTTGGAGAACACGTGCCCACACCGAAGGTAAGTTGTTGCAGGTGTTGTTATTGTTGTGTGGGGGTGGTAGGGTGGGGTCCTGATCGTGGCTGTGCTGCAGCAAAGCAGGCAGGGCTCCTTGTTCCCGAACGATGACACACGAAAAAGCAAGCATTCGTAGATTGTACGATGGGAACTACGACAAGAAGATATCTGACAAAGCGGAAACAACACGGGGCACCTCGGAGGATAGACTCTTCTCTTTCACGACGAGCACGTCGAAGCCCTTTCTCATGGCGCACTTGAACTCGTACAGCTCGTCCTGCTCAGAAAAGAAGGGAAAATAAAAATGCCCATGAGAGGATATAACAACAGCAACACAAGGCGGGAGAATAGCAAACAAACGTTGTGTATAGCCACGACACACGACTTCTCCACACGAACCTACCCCTGCACCAAGCCCCTACTAGACGAGAACGCATCGATGAAGAAAACACGAACCTCCAGCCCCTCCATGACTCTTTCCAGTCCTCCGGAATATTCTCCCCCGTTGACGGACAAGTGTCGGATATCCTCCTTGATCTTTGACATGGTCGCCTGACAACGCGACAACCAACGCCATGCAATCAAACAAGGCATTCCGTAGGGAGGTTGGTTGAGACTGACTCGAGTAAGAGTCGACCCCTGGGGCAAGCATGAACGAATCCGCTCACATGCAACAACAAAAAAAAGGCACGTCGGCGTAACCAGAAGGACCGGGCGCTCTCAACGGACGTGAAGTTGCTCGGAGATCAGAAGAAAGAGGTACATATTTAGGTCATAGGTCATAACAGGAAGGGTTCATTGCTGACTTATTCTGGACTCTTTTCTATGCAGGTACATAGACACTGTGGTTTTGGTACATTCTTGGAAGAAAAAAAACATGTTTGAGGAGGCACCTGCTGGGAATGGTCGCGGGTTGTAGGGGGGGGGGTGAGCTAAATAATCGATCCGGGTCGGGTGAACGACGGTGATCATGGGCGAAAGCGAAGCAGTATCAAAGGACGTGGAAACGTATAGAAGGAACAGCCTTGAGCGATGCATACGGAGAAAACCATACCAACGAAAAGGCACAGCGGGAAAGACGAGAGAGACGGAGAGACCGGGAAGATAAACGAGAAATAGATAGACTACAGGCAAAGAGGAGAGAACAGAGAGAGAGTAACAGAGAGCGACAGAGAGAGACAGAGAGAGACACCCAGACAGGCAGCCAGACAGACAGAGGCAGAGAGACAGAGACAGAGAGAGAGAGAGACCGCACAGAAGCAAGCAAGCCAGCTAGACAGACAGCTAGACAGACAGACAGACAGACAGACAGATGAGCCAGATGCTCAAACCACCAAACCTTCACCTTTTGTGTCATCAGCCGCTTCCTCACCGCCGACACCTCGTTCCGCCTCGCCTCCGTGTCTGCTCGTTCTTGCTCGACTAACACCGTAGCGTCCTGGAGAATCCAACCATGAAAAACGTGGCTATTCTTTTATACTTGGATACATAACGTCACGGTAGTACGTGAGTGCCGATATGCCGTATGTATGAAAACCAAGAAAATATAGGTAGCAACAACAGCGGTTCAGCCACGATATAGAGTGAAACATGCTCCCCCCTCGCTGTCTGTGGCTGTTGTCTATTAAGCAGGCGCACCGATGCCCGTCGGTTTATTGGACTTTATTGCACTACGATAGAGCTTGCCTTTGTGCTGAGCAACAGGGTATCTGAGAACCCATTTTGTGTACGTACTGTATCGGCATTGATGAGCGCACACCAAGGCAGTTTTCAATGGAGAACCGTGACAATGCCTCACCTCTCGTTTTCGTTTGCTCGAGCTATCGACGCGGAAGCACCCTACAAAACCTGGATGCTGGAGGCGACGTCAACTGTTTTCGAACAATCGGAATCGATGCCATCAGGACGCTATCGGCGCGGCCAACGTTTACGCTGGGGGAGGAAATGGTCGACGACGTAACTGAACTGGTTGTAAATATGGAAACTAAGATATTTTCTGCCTATGTGCATCTGATGTGTCTTGGGAGGGGCACAAGACCTTTTATTTGAGGCAAAAGCTTGTGTCTCATGACTTGTCGGAGAACCGACGTTCCTTTTGTTGATGGGGTACGGATGTAGGCAGATGCAAATTTGTGCCGTTCTCAAGAGGCTACGTGCAAAAGAGGGCCGATCGGGGAGAGCCAAAACACTTACCATGTTAACGCAAGAAGAAAACGAAAGGAAGGCTGGTGGAAACTGTTGTTTATTTTCCTAGCTGAAAAATAATTGGGCTGCTGCTGAAAAGCACTCTTATTCCCAACCATGGTATATAAACAAAAAAACACAGATACCACACACCTACACCCCCGGTTGATACTTTCTCTTAAACCCACGCTCATCGATCCATTTTATCACACGGGTGACGTTAGATACCGCACACCCCATGACCCCATGTTGCGCCGCTGTGCAGTGAGTGGGAAGTGTTGCGGAATAATTATATTATTGTTTATCTCTTGGAACAGCAGTGCTTGCTGTTGCTTTCCGAGAGTAGACTGAGCACACAGAGAGGGAGGACCTGTTCCCTCTAAAAGGGGCCACAAAGGTCCAGTCCCTTGTTTTTTCCTTCGATCGGGAGTTACATCTCTCGCACGTTTCCTCAGGAAATTTCTCCGCAATACCGCTGATACCTGCTACAATTCAAATTCTGTAACAGAGCCTATTACACCGCTGATATTTTGCCAGTGATGCCAGCTGGTCCTGATCACAAAAATTGCTGGAAATGGTGCATCACCGGGGTGTGATTCTCATGCTATCCCCTAAATACGTATGCGCAAGGTCGGATCGGACCTACATAATCCCACCACCACAAGGTTCCACAGCTTTTCCTACACGCTAACAACCGGGTACTCCCGTACAACGCATAAAATAGCAGATGCAGTGTATGTGGTCGATGTGAAAATCCGAGCAGCAGCGTGCGGACGGATACGGTAATTACGCTATCTGATCGATAGTCGAATGCAGGGAGTCTGTTTGAGCATGATGCAGGTGGTAGGTGGAAGATCGAACGGAAGCTATGTTCATTTTGCTTGTTTATGCGGTGGATCTACATAGCGTACGGTTGAAGTACTCCGTTTCACCACGACCGTATCTTAAAGGACGTGCGACGTGCGGTATCCTGCTGCAGGAACAACCAAGAGCAACCTTCGACCCAGTCCCTACACCAGAAAGCACGAGGAATCGCGACACTCCCGGCGGATCTTTGTCGCCAAAGCTGTTGATAACAGAGCTACGAACAAGTGGTGACTGCTGTTGACCTCTCCTCTCTGCGGTGGCCGTAGCGCAATAGCAGTAGAGGGTGCAAGAGAGCGAGAACTACAATGCTTCTGCTGTTGTGAAGTACGTACAAGTACGTCTGTGTGACATATCCAATCGATATCTCCGCTCGCGGCTCGCTAAGGCCGTCTATTAATTAAGTGCCAAATATCAAAATCGAAAAAATCAAAATCAAAATCGAGATCTGATTGGTCGAATATCTGCTACCTCCTGACGACGCCCTTTGATTTTATGGAAGTTCCTCTGTCTGGGAAGAAGTCCCCGGGGGACTTTTTTCTTTTTTCCATCAAAATCAAAATCAAAGAGGCAGGGAGTTCAAGACTTCGAAGGCTTGGAGCACCTGCCGCGAGGCCGCTGCAAAGCAAGTGTACGACACGACCTGCTGCACACTGCTCATAGAGGGGCTATCGGCACCCTACCACCGAGACCATGACCATTATTTGTAGCCAGAAGACTCTGCTCGCCGGCAAGCCGAAAAACGGGCCGGCTCGTTGGGTGCTCGAGGAGAAAATGCCGAACGTGACAAGCGGTGAACGGACTGACGATCAGGACAGGGCTGCGCGGCTTTTTCGGGCTGTTCCGTGCGGGAGAGGGTAGTTGCAGTATTTTTTCTCCACACTCACGATACCCCAAGGCATCTAACCTTGTACGAGACAGATGGTGGGTAAAGCTACCTCCCGTCGCGTGGCATTGCTAATGCTGTTGCTTCCTCCTTCGAAGAGTTATCGCTGAAAAACTGAACTGTGAGCAGACATTCGGCGCAAACTTGAACTAGCCGCTCTCTGACGTGGATTTTTTAGGGTCAACCAAAACTTTTTCCCCTACACGCACGATACCCCACGGTAGCATACCTTGGGCTTAAAAGATGGAGCAGAGAGGTACCTCCCGCCGCGTGGCGTTGCTGTTGTTTTTGCTTCCTTCTTCGGAAAGTTATCGGTGGATATCACAACCCGTGGCGGCCCAAACACCGAACTTGAAGTGACCGCTCGCAACCGTTGGCATTTTTGCTTCAACACAACCTTTTTTCCGGTGCATTCGGCACCTCACGGCGCCAAACCTTGGCATTGCCCAACAGCCCATGTTTCCAACTCCTTCCGGACACCGTTCTTGAGGCAACTCCTTAAGTATTTGGCGAGATATCGGCTAACACGTGAACAGAAGAGCGCAAAACGCACCCTAGAAAAATCACGGCTGCGCTGCTGGCTCTTCCCCTGGCGCCAGGTCTTTCTGATTTTTTGCCTCATCTGTCTCCTATCCTCGTTAACATACACGACAATCTTGTGGTGAGAATGGGTTTCGGTCTAGTTCGCGAGGCGTTATTGGTTGAGATAAGTAACGGTCGACACGTTTCTGAGTGTCTAGACGACTGGACCGACCGATCAAGTAGTGTAGTTGCTGCTACAGCAGTGCTGATGTGGATGACCTAGTGCTGAGACAAGCATAGACCTAGAGTCACGAGAGTTAGCCTGGAACATGAGAGAGTGCACATCATTGGATTAAGTGCAACCAATCACATGGTTGTGTAGGGGTATCACGGACCACGGACTGACGTGTGTCTGTTCGTGACGATTATTGAAGTTGGAACGTCCGGAAGCTTGGCTCCGTTAAGCCTCGTACATGATCACTCTCACTGCTTTGCCCTCAGTTCCGAACGTCTAGAGCTGATTGCAAGAGTGCCGAGTCAGTAATAAGCCACGAACCCAGCGACAACCGAACCAAAGACGCTTGAACACAAGTGCCTGCACTGACAAGCTCGAGCCTGTTAGCAGAGAAGAGGCAGAACCCAGTTCTCCCCACAGTGGCGTCGTCTGCTTCAAGCGCAGTGTAGCTTGCTTGTGCGTCGAGCGTTCACTGCTGCCGTCGACCGCTGTCGATCGGTCACGCGCGTTTTACGGATCGCCGCTGTCGTCACGTGACGTACCGCTCGGGCACCGTCCGCCGGCGCGCGAAACGGGGCTGAGGCCGCCGAGAAAAACGGAAACCCCCGGCGAGGGGAGCGTTCGCACGATCGCCCGAAAGAGATCCTCGCGTGAGGTCGAGGTGCAGCAAGTGCGCCCGGGCGGTTCGGCGCGACGCGCGGCTGCGCTAGTCGGCGGTTCCACACGGATCTTGAGGCGGGTGGTCAGAAGCGAGGTGCGGCGTCCTCGCCCGGTGCGTGGTCGGCCCCGGCGGGAGTGCGCACTCCGTCGCCTACGGGCAAGGGACGCAAAGGTGGGTCAGTGTCGCGAGCGCGGGGTCCGGTGACCCGCTCGCAAACCCATGCTCGTCGTAGGTCGGCACGCGCGCCTGTAACGCTCGCGTCTTATGTGCCTGCCCGCACGGTGACCTCGCCGCCCGCGCGGGTGTCTGTGCGCCCGACCCGTCGTTCGTCGCGTGTGGCCGCGTCGCGGTCGTACCCATCCGTTGAGGCGGAGCCGGTGGCCGCTGCGGTCGTCGACCGGCCGTTGCCGGTAGATGTGGGTTCGTCGGGCGAGGCGAGCTCGTCGGCGGAATCCGCAGTTTCGGGGTCGGCGTCGGAGGCCGACGAAGTGGCCGACGAGGTGGTGTTGGTGGCTGCCATGGCGGCCAAGGCAGCCCCTGGCGGTGCCGGACAGGGAGGACCCTCCGGGTGGAGGTGCCGCGACGCTTGCGCACCAAGGTGCGGGCTACCTCGGGCAGGTGAGGCGTGTTGGGTACCCGTACCCCGCGGTAGTGGCGGTCGGTGACATGGTAGCTGGCTGGCCGGCCGCCGATCGCGAACGTCTCTTGGCCGATCTGCTCGGTGAGCACCGGGCGCCGCCGGCGTCGTTCGAGGTGCGTGACCCGGACTTGCCGGCGACGCTCAAGTTGGTGAGGGACATGAGCGACCCTGAGGTCGATTCTGACCCGGAGAAGGCTAAGTCGGTAGCGTTGGCTCGGTCCCTAGCGGAGGCGGACAAGGCGTTTGAGGCCCACCGGCTAGCGGTGTTGGAGGGTGAGTCCCCTCCCCGTACCCGCGGGTCCGATCCCGATTACGTGCGCGCCAAGAAAACCGGCCCGCGTCGGGCGCCGGTCTCGCTTGCGTCTGCGGTGTTAACCCATAACCGCTTCGCGCCCCTATCCACGTCCGGGTTGTGGCAGGTGGCGGAAGGTGGGGGAGCGGAGGCCGAGCTCCCTTCTGCGGAGGAGGTGCGTGTGGAGCGCCTCCAGCAGGAACTGCAGGTCGCCCAGCAGGCGGCCGTCGAGGCCAAACGAGGGGAGGTGGGAGACGTCTCCGCGGCGGGGGCGGCCGAGCGGTCCGCCCGAGCGGTCGGCGCGGACGCCGCTCCGTCGCGCCGCGCGCCGAAGGCCGCGCGGGTGGCGACGACCGG